GTATAGAGCGCAATAATCTCATGCTCTATACCTTCCTTTTTTTCAAAATCTAGCAAATTCAGCAGACGTATACTCACCACCTTCATCAGTTCTCAACTTCTTCAACTTGCATTCACTTGCAACTTGAATTTCTTGAACTGTGTGAATACCTCACTCTTCCTTTCAATAAGGTAAATTCGCATATGTCTGGTAAATTCATCAATGAAAGTGAGAAAATACATGTTACCTTCATTTGACTCTACTTCAAAAGGTCCACACACATCAGAATGAATCAACTACAATTTTTGCTTTGATTTCATGGGCAAGTCATGTTTGAATGCCTTCCTCGCCTGCTTTGCTTTACGACATTCCTCATACACCTGCTTTAGTTCCTTCACATAAGGTAACCCAAACACTATCTTTTTTAGATTGAGCATGCATAAACTTCTGAAATGTAGATGTCCATACATGTGATGCCATAGTCAGTTCTTGTCTTCTTCTGTAGTTGAACCAAGACATTTGTGATCTGATGTGTTGAGTTCAACTTTTAAAAAATTATTTTCTGCCAATGGTCCTTTCATTATTAGCCTTCCATCAGCCCTATATACCTTCATCTGATTCTTCTCCAGCTTGATATTGAAACCTTTTACAAGTAATTGACCTACATTTATCAAGTTACTTGTCATAGAAGGTACATACAATACTTTAGTGATAATGGCCTTTCGACCATCCTTCTTGACAATCGAAATCTCTCATTTACCACCTAATCTGATGTGTCTTCCATCTGCAAACTTTATCACATTTTCGACTGACTCATCTAACTTGATAAACCAGTTTTTATTATCAGTCATGTGGTTGTTGCATCCTGAATCCAGATACCACATGTTGGTTTTCTCAGTGTTTAACTGAGTGTTGACCATCAATAGTACATCATCAGAATCACTATCTCCAGCTCTTGCATCTTGAACTTCATCACTACCTATCGCCCTCGCCGCTTTCTTTCTTCGACAGTCTCGAGCATAGTGACCAAAATCTTGACAATTATAACATTGCACTTCTTTCGTGTCAACTTTCTTCCCAAAATACTTGTTACCCACACCTTTCTTGATCGAATCAGTATTCTTGCTTGACTTCTCATCACTAGCAAGATTCTTCCGTTGCTTCGACTTCTCTTTTCCAGCTTTCTTGCTGAATTTTGATTGCAAAGCCTGTTCATCCATCTTCTCTCTTTCTGAGTTTCTCTGCTTCAACCTCATCTCATGAGCCTCTAGTGAAGCTTGAAGTTCTTTCTAACTTCATCTCAAATAGAGTCTTGGCCTCTTCAATTGTCACTACAATGTAGTCAAAATCTGCAGTCAGTGACCTCAACATTTTCTCTATCTTCTGTAGATCCATAACTGATTCACCACATGCCTTCATCTGGTTTATTAGCGTCACAATTCTTGAGAAATATGTAGAGATTGATTCATTTGAATTATCTCGTATTGCTTCCTCAATATCTGCAACTTCACCTTCTTCAATTTCTCATCTCCACCATACAAGTTCTTTAACTTATCTCACGCTCCTTTTGTCGTTTCTTCTTCAATTATCTTCTCAAATACATCAGAATCCAAACACTAGTGAATCAAGAACAATGTTTTACCATCTTTCTTTCTTTGGTCTTTGTGTGCAGTTTTCTGAGTATCTGTCGCATTTGCTTCCAATTATGATACTCCATCATTCACGATTTCAACAACATCTTGAAATCTGAAGATAACCTTCATCTGAGCAACCCATTGTTGATAATTTTAACCTTGGAAAACTGATAGATTTGCTGGAAATTGTGTTGGCGTTGTTGTTCCGTTTGCCATTAGATTCTCTCTGAATCGCAACCGAGCTCTGTTATACCAATTTGTTAAAACAAAGGGTTTTCAAGAAAGATGATTGATAAAAGAAGAAGAGAGAGGTATTGAAGTTTGTTAAAGATTCTAACTGAATTGTAAAAAAACGTTATTGATGTAGTTATTCTAATTACAAACTAACAAGTCCTTTATATAAGCATACAATGTCCAGGCCAAATTCGACTAACTACAAAGCTGTTGTATTCGACTCTGTCGAATACAGCTGACAACTTATTCAAAACTAACTATTTTGACATACATCTATGCTCTTCGACAGAACAAGAATTATATATCTTAATAAAAATGTAATCTGTTAATGTGCTTAACATCTTCTATACATACATATTGACAGATAAACTATCAGGGTTTTCTTTGGAAGTTCTCCGACCTGACTTATTGATTTGAAATATTTTGAAGTCTTGTACTCTCAACTCTCAAAGAGAGAAGAATCCTTATCTTTATTCATTACCTTACTTTAGAATTATCCCTTTTGTTTCATTGTCAATGCTAATTGGCTTAGTGTATGCAGCGGTGGCGCCATTGTTGCTCCCATTTCTTATTGTGTATTTCTTTCTAGGCTATGTTGTCTATATCAACCAGGTAACTTGATGACATTGGCATTACCTAAGTTTGTTTTCTATGAAAGTTGTCTTTAAGAGGTACAGAAACATAATTTTGCAGATTCAAGATGTGTATGAAACTTTTTTTTTGAAAGGCAGATGTGTATGAAACTACTTACGAAACATGCAGACAGAATTGGCCATACATCCATCGCTACATTCTCCTTGCATTCATTCTCATGCAGATTACTATGATTGGTTTATTTGGACTCGAGTTAAAACCAGCTGCTTCCATATCAACCATACATGCAAACTTTATTTTTACTTTCTCTCAAACAATACTTACTTAACCTCCTCTCCTCTTTCTCTCTATACGGAACTTCGTAACTATACATTAAATTAAATAATTAATGATACAAATCAAAATAAAGTTAAACAACAATTAAATCATCAAACTTTTATATCATTAAAAGTTATCACATTATATAAACTACTTAATTATACATTAAACAATTAACTTTATACACTTTTACAATAATACTTAAAGATTGTGATGCTTGATAAATTATGTAGCACTAACATTTAAAAAAAAAACATATATTTGTCCGACAACTACACCAATATTTGTCATTATATTTAAGGAATTAATTAATTATTTTTAAAATTATTAATAGTGTCAGTGTATTAGTGACAGAGTTGTGTTTAGGGTGTCAAAACTTCATATAGTTGATAGTTGATAAATTGTTCCCGACTTGTGTTAGAGCACACACCGATCCTGAGGCTCGAAAGTATCTTTTTATAATATTGTTGGAAGTTCTTCCTGCAAGCCCTTGTTTGAGGTGTGATTCTTTCTTGCATATCCTCATATTTTGGATGTGAGCATGTGTCTCGGTTGTTTTATAAAGTTATTGATGTGTCAGTTGTTTTTTCTAGGGGATTCTTTTTACACGATATGATTTTGTTTAGGGTATAATGCAAAATTTTAAAAATATTTTTAAAATTGAAAATATATTTTCAGTATATATTTATATACATATAATTCATTCATTTTTTGAGATTCATCGTATTTTATAATAAAATTTATTCTGAAAATATAATTCCGAAAATTCCTATCATGTCCCGTTCTTCACTTTTGGTTCCACTTTGGTAGTCAAAATGATACAACAACATTGTCTAATTTTAATCTATATTCAACTTGTTATTTTTATTAAGATATCTGTGGAGGTAATATACATCTTCCAAATTTCTTAAAATATTTTCTAAACTTGAGGTATATGCAACTGTTACTAACGCATTGTCAAAATGGATACTTTGTGGATTCTCTACATAAGCAATATAGTAAGCACTAACAATACATAGTACTGAAACTGTATTTTTGGAAATTTCAGGAAATAGTTCTTTATTTTTTAATGTTGCATCCAAACCATTTGATCTATTGGTTTTACTATGTGTCATTTTATCATCATCCTGTTCTTTTTAACGGATTTAAAAAATTTCTACACCCAAAATAGCTATAAAAAAAAACTTCTCCATATTTCAATAATATTTTAATTAAAAAAACACATCCAAGAAATTCAAACTAAAATAAGTCAACACTCTAAACTTCTTTTAAAAACATTGGAGCAAATAATTGCCTTCAAACATTTAGAATCAGTTTGATGTTTTTTTTTATTACAATTTAAGTGTTTCTACTTGACTTAGATCTTGTATCAAGCAGTATAACAGTTCCAATGTCTAGTGGCTATTAACCGACTTCAATAGTGTACGGAGCTAGTTAGCATATTGTAATAGAATTTCACAAGGAAAGAGAAAACCAGGAACCTGAAAGTGAAACTTCTATATCCTGATTCTAATAGTCTTGAACCCTATTATTTATGGGGTAAAATCTAGCTTTAACTATTCTACACTGGCATAACTGCTCTAACCAACTAACTCACTACATACAGAAAGTTGTACAACAGAAAGACTAACACTGAAAGCCATCAAACACTCGCCCATAAGTCATAAGACTGTCAAAGAAACTAACTGAAAACAATAACTGTTTCAAAAAAAAATAACGGTTTTAGACATGTCTGACTAAAAATACACTCAGGTTTACTGAAAATGGGGGAGTGGATAAAATTGTTTTTAACAGAAATCGAGATAACTAAATCACAATCTAACAACATACCATTTGAAGTTAAAATGGGGGAGAAATGCCTCCTATTATTTAAGTGATGTCCAAAACGAACACACATAAAATCATTCTACATCTATACCAAAATGTATCTCTACGATACATGTTAATTAAATTTCTCCACAATATCCGGTTCTTACCAAAAAACCTATAGGACACCGATGAAAATGTCAAGCTCGTAATTTAATCCAGGAAAAAGCTGAAAGTACAATAGTTGTACCATTAAAAAGAAATTAAGAAAAAACCTTGCCCTACACATTGGATATTTTTACTTCCATTTGTAGATGGGAGATGATGATGGTAATCTAGAATTTGCAGCACCAAGTCATGAGAAGATTGTTTGCATAACCAATTCCTCGACCTCTGTGAATTCAAAACCCTGAGGCATATTTGCATCAAGCATTATTAAACCTCACTAGAATCTTCTGAATCTGAACTATCAACCATCTTCTCAAGAGAATCTAGGTTGCCAGCTTCTGAAGTTGTGTGTAATCTGAGTTGATCCGCATCTTCACTGAGGAAAAAGAAAACCACGAAACATTTCTATATGAGCCTGCTATTTTAGTATTCTGACAATAGAGATACGAATAAGTTAAACAGATTTCTAGCATGTTGTTCAATCATGGCATCTCGTATCTATCTTTAATGAAAGATATATTTATGTGAGAATGCTGATAGAGATATCAAATTCTTTAAGAAACTTCAAAGAGAGGAAATAATAGTTAGAAGTAAAATATATAAATAAAACATTGATTCTTCTTACTTTTTTCCCAATCAATCTTAACTACTATGAACTAAAATCTATAGAAACATAGAATAAAGAGCATACTCTGTTACTCCGAAGATTTCCTTAACAACTAAGGAGCTATCTCTTGAACAGAACTCAGGCAGCTGGAATCAGAACAATAGGAGAAAATCAAAACAAATCAAACATTGAGATGTTACACAACAGTCACAATAACAAGAATGGATATTAGCCTTTTACTCGAAAAAATATAGTGTCCAAAAATTTCGGAGCAGCAACCAACCAAATTATTAAATGTTAAAAGTTAATACATATATCCAAGAATTAACAAAAAGGTTTCTTCCTAATACCAGAAAATAGAACCACTCCTTTCGCAAAAGAACTATGTGCTATTTTTTGCTATTATGTGATAACTTAAAAGAAATATGAGTTATTATTAACACTAACTATACAAGAAATAGAACCACTCCTTATACTTAACACAACGAATGTGTTGGAAGTTGCAATGAAGGCAACCCAAATGCTCTCATTAGGCAGCTAGGGGCGGACCACAATTAAGGAAGAATTTCCAACATGTTCAAACAACTGAATACAAGATACTCTACCTACTTTTCCATAATAAGTTTTATCTCAACTCTCAAAAAAAACTCATTCGCCTTCTCATCCATCATAACACTATGATCTCTATATCACTAACCTTGGTTAATGACTCCTTACTTTCTGTCGGCCAATGAGTCTTAGCATTCAATCGCTTACAGCATTAGAGGTCTTATAATTGTGATAAGTGATTCATGTTAAGCTTGTGCGGTACTTTTTTTATCACAAATTATTATGCTGAAACATTCTTATGTTTCATCCACACCTTACTTGAAGCCTAAGCTTTTGTATCTCTCCTTATTTCCTCATCAATTTGTATGATGGATTCAAGATACTTAAGCCATAGGACTTGTGTATTATGGTATATAATTGGGATTTTACATATCAATAAAAAAATTTCAGTATTATTGGTCCATAGCAATTGTTGAATAAATCCAGAAACCACAGTTGAGGTTACCATATCAGATGGTACCGATGGCACTTAATGGCTCTGAGCACTCCACATAATTGCATATATTGTATTTTACACACCGAAAAAAAGAGAGTCGTGTTACATGGACTGTTTAAGGCCACTTACCTCAGATAGATAGAAGACCTTTCCAAAAAGAGCTTGAACAGCTAGTTTTCTCTTGAAACCCTTTTCAGTATAACCTGATTTATTCATTACAATAGGACCTAAACATCATTGAAAGAAAATTGACGTCAGAGAATAGAAATAATCATGCCAGAACTTCATCTAACTACATTTAGCATAAAAAATGATTTCATAGACTGAATGATTAACAGAAATAAGGGGAACTGGGAAAGGTTAGTTTTCTCATGATTAGTGATTCTGTAATCGTCTTTTCTGACTCACAACTTTCTGTTATTTACACGCATGTTAACTTCAAAACAGCTTTATAGTAATGGTAGACCAGGGTATACAAATACAAACCCTGATATGCAACCGCAGCCAACTGAGAAACAGCATCGTTTATACAAAGTTGCAATTTCACATATATTATCAATAGCACGCCATAGTGGCAGAATGACATGTCTCAGCCTCCGGCTACTATGAGAATCAACTAGTGCTGCATTTCACTGTTGTGCGAGTTTGACCATACCAGACCAATGTCAATCACAAACTCTACTGAAAATCCCTTTTATTTTATACAAATTCCTTTTTTCTACCACTGCTATGTTATCCAAATTCCTTAGTACCACTGTTGGTGGTTATCCTATTTTTCCCAAACCTGCAAACATAAGAATGTATGGGTTGATTTATCGGGAAAGGATGAAACAGAACATTCAACTGTTTAAGGAAAGCTATGACATTGTCAGTGAAATATAACAGTCTATCCTTGCAGGGATTCTACAGCCTTTACCTATTCCTACTAACATACTGTGAGGATCTTGATTGATTTCTTTGGCGGGTTACAAAAAATTTGATGGTAAAGAAACAATTCTGCGGGCACTTGGTGGTTGAATTACTTGCAATTTGCAAAATATGTCCACAATACTTAAGTATCTTGTTCTCTTACTGCTAGGGATCTAGCCGAAGCTTTTTTCAAAGAGGTGGTTCAGTTGCATGGTTTTTCAGCATCAATGGTCTTGGACTTTGACAAGGAGGAATGCTTGACTAAGTTGTTTCATTTTGATGGTACCAAACAAATTCAGTTTTTTTAATGGCATGTGCTAGTATAGTTAGTATCATATTGGGGTGTGGATTGATCCCTCTCCCTCCTAATCACTCCACTTCTTAACTACTCCACCCCAACCACCAAGCCACAAACAAACAAATTCAGTTTGACTTATCGACTGAAATCAAGTGGCCACTGGCCAGTACAAAATGTGATGAATAAGTGTTTGGAGATCTAATTGAGATGCTTGACAGCTAAAAAAACTATGAAGCACGGACACCTCTAGAAGTAGGTATGTCGCGGTGTCCGACACTTGTATGACACCCGTACGACACGTGTCGGAAAAATCAAACAAGTGTCGGAAAAGTCAGACAAATGTCCCTAAAAAATTGGTGTTTTTTCTTTGCTTCGACACATTTTGCATAGGTGTCTGATACCCATATGACACACATAGAACACGTGTCTGATAATTCAGACAAGTTTTCTTTTAAAAGTTGTGTTTTTCTTTTGCTCGACACACTTTATACATTTTCTAGACAAAAATCATGCACGATCAAAAGGTATAAACATGTATCGAAGCAGTGTTATCAATGAAGAATTAAAGACGTTCATTTTGATTAGAATATTTTTAACTCTTTTGATATTAGATGAATAAATGAAACTCAAATACTATGACATATATAGCCGTGTCAGTGTCCTAGATTTTTGTCATATCGGTGTAGGAGTGTCCGTGTCCGTGTCGCGGTGTTCGTGTTGGAGTGTCCGTGTCCATGTCACGGTGTCCGTGTCGGAGTCTGTGCTAAAAAAACCAAAACAATGGCATAAACAAAACCATATATGACCAAGACCCTTCTATGTTACCCAAAGGAACTACTTTCCCCTGAAAATACTTACGAATGGTATTTTTCATTGCACTTCCTGAATTTTAAAGCCATTTTACTTGAGGTTTAGGTCAGGCTAGTGATGGTGAATTAAATTGTTTGGGTAATTTGTAGAATCATAGGTTTGAAGCTATATGTCACAAATTCTACCAAAAAGACATGAGCATTTGAACTTGACACCTTAGACCCATATATTAAAACTTTATCAATATAAGGAGCAAACCAGATAAAAATAATCATATTCACTCATCACCGCAGTTCATCGGAATACTTTTCTAACAGCCTTGGCCAAAATAAACTACCACGTACAAGGATTACTCAGATGAAAACTGTCCAATATTAAGAAGACATTACCTTTGTCTCTCACAATTCTTCGTGAAATTTCATTTAGAATCTCAGCAACTTGTGAGTCATTTAATGCAGAAGCTCTTCTTAGCTGAATTAAATCAGCTACAACATCAGGATTGAATGGTTTCTCGTTCAGAGCATATCGAATATATTTGCGCAAAATTTCTTCCAAGCCAAAACCTGTCTGGATATGAACTTGTTGTTACATAAAATCAATGACACATGCAGAAGAAGTCAAAAGCATGGGAAGCCAGCAAACAGAAAATGAATATTCATGAGATTTTGCCAGCCAGCAAAATGAAAGCTAAGAACTACTTTCTTGATCTAGACAGATGGAATGATCCTATATTAGAAAAACACTGTAAAGATCATTTTCATTAAAGAAACATTTGCACAGAATAAACATGTCATGATTAGGAATCGAAACATATACACATCAACAACAAAAGTTTCACATAAGGTTAGACAGGCAAAAGATCCGATATTTCAGACTGAGACTGTTAATCCATATGCTACAAAGAGTATTACAATGAATTGATGATTGTCTAGGTTGGTAATCCCGGATAGCGGCGCTACGCGCCGAACCCCCAAAATGCTATTGCGGCATAGCAGATAGCGGGATGACCGCTAATTGTGAGCTTTAAAAACCAAGGCAAATACTTAACATGAATACATAAATACTTAAAATAAGTTCCAACAACATGCATAATGCCTTAAAAACAGAAGTTGCAACAACATACATAAATTCCAACAACACCATCAATATAAGTTCCCACCAAAATCAAATTATAAATGTACTCAATATGACTAAACCAAATTCTAAACGTAAACAAAATGACTAAATTACATCCCCGTCTGCCTCATCTTCACTTCTAAGTTCCACCACATTAATATCATTTTGCCCATCTCTTGATTCAAACTCTTTATAGGAATTCCCCTGCCAACCTATGTCAACATGCTTTATAGGTTTTAAAACTGCCAATAGGTTTTAAAAAAACCTTTGTTGTTGGAAGTGTGTCACACATGCGGAAGATGATGTCATGGTTGCTAGTAAAAGAGAAACAGAGCAACAGAGCAAAATAGAGCAAAACAGAGAAGGCACGGAGAAAAACATAGGAGAAATCAAATATGAATTGATAAGTTAGGTGAAGAAATAGATGAATAGGTGAAGAATGGTGATGATTTTTTAAGAACGATGGATGGCTTGCTGATTTGCGAAGAATGTCGAAGTTGTGCGAAGAAGTTATGCGAAGAAGATGGCTTTCTTAAACGCAGACACGCGAGTGAAGAGGGAAAAGGTAACAAACATGTGAAATGACCTAAAGCAAACAAACTTCAAATTTTCCCTTAAAAAAATTCAAATTTACAAATTTACTCTCATATTCACAATAGCAGTCTACAAACTGCTACATAACCGCTATTGAGCCGATATAGCGCCGCCATGACTACACAAATAGCGGCCACTATTTCCGCTATCGCGGATAGCACTTAGCAGCCAAAAAGTGTCGCGGTGAGGTTCGGTTCCGCTATGCTATAGCGCTATAGCGTGTTATCGACAACCTAGATGATGGTAATTTTATACAATACCAGTTTAGTACTTATGGTCTTATAGTGGAATCATTGTTCTTACTTTGTAAAACTAAGACACATTAACAATAATAACAAAACCGAAATAAATAGGAGCAAATACACAGCCTTATAGATTACCATGTAAAATAAAACAGTGTCTCTAATGCATATGATAATCAATCAAGTATGTCAAGTTACCCTCATCTGATAGGCTATGATAATCAATCAAGTATGTCAAGTTACCCTCATCTGATAGGCACTCATGCACAAGAACATACAAAAAAAAAAAGTTATCATTATTTAAAAATTAAAACTATAAATCAGTTCATGACTGAACCCTGAGTGGAATATCAGAAAAGGAGAAGTAACAAATGATTCAATTCAGTGTTCTGAATATGAGATTCACTATATGTAGTTGCAGATAGTGTTATGACTATAATGATAGAGTAATATTTTACCTTATTGTGGATTTTTAATCTCTTACACTAGCATTGTATGATACTGGTTCTCAACAGATAAGAAGATTCTGCTTTGCTGTCAGTTATTACTACTGCTACAAAGTTTCTCCACATACTTTATATCAAGATAGCACTTGTTACATTACAACCCAAAAGAAAAGGAGGGCTGAAGATCAACTGGCCTAGCAGTTGTCTCATGGGCCCAGGGAATGGGAAGTGTAAGGAGAAACAAAGGACAGTTGGGAAAGGATCTTGTGATGGCAGAAGGGGAATTAGTTGAGACGGGAGAGTTAGTTAATGATGGTGGGAAGTTACTGGCGGTGGGGAAGTTATCAAATAGTAGGGGGGAAGTTGGATTTTGAGTTATCTTTTGGAGAAACATATGTTAGTAGTGAATAAAGAGTTCCCTATGTAATCAAATTATTATCACCATCGATAAAGAGTCGAGAATATTTGGTTTGTATCAGAACTCAACAAACATGGAGAAGAACAAAGCTTCTCTACCGACTACCGTTATTGACGCAAATTTAACCCTAGACAAAATGCGAGACCATACATTATTCAACAACAAATGTCAAATAGTGACCACATGCCATATTCAAGGTTTCAGAATCTCTGCAACTGCAATAACGATATTAAGAGTTTTTCTGCCATTGTGGACGCATTTGACTACAATTTCTCACAATAACAAGGATTGTGAAACAAGTAATTATAAACTCACGTCAACAACAAAAATATAAAGGTTTTAGATGTCTCTGCAACTGAAATCGCGTTTGCATTTGCTCGCATTTTGCCACAAAATATCATGGTTTGTAGCATAACTATAAGCACAATTTAGAAGCATACCGAACTACAATATAAAGTAAATATTTTCTAATCATGCACCTCACCTTATTTTCAATTCCTTTGAGATCATCAACCTTGACTTCATCTCTTCCTCTTTGCAACAACTCATCCACCGACTTACACAACAACGCATTTTTACCAACCTGAAACAAACAAACGAAAACTAGCATTAGAATTTTCTAAACCGTAACAAAAAAAATTCCAAAGAAACAAAAAAAAACGAACCAATTTCCTGCGCTGTGCTTTGGGAGAAGCGAAGTTCCTAACGGTTTTAAGAAACGCAATAACAAAAGTAAGAGCAGCGTAACCAAGAGGAACGGCGAGAATCCAGGGCAAGGAAGTGGGACCCACTCTGGGACCGGGAATCGCTTGGGTAACAGAACCGGTGAATTCAACGAGGTCAAGAGCTTTCTCTTGAATCCAGGGAAGTTCCTCTTCCACTTCAACCTCAACAATTTCGTCTTGTTTAGATTGTTTAGGGTTATTGTTAGTGGAAGAGTTTTTGGAAGATGACGCTGAAGCGAGGGTTGAGATTGAAGTAGATGTTGATAAGAGTGGTTTTGGGCGGAGTGTAGGGAGAAAGAAGGGTTGAGATTGAAAAGGGTTTTTGTTTGGGAGAGGGAGAAAATGGGAAGTAAGAGAGGAAGTGAAAGCCATTGGAGGGAAATGAAATGAAATGAAATGGAGAAATTCTGGGTTTCTGCTTCTTCGGTTTAAGATCTGTGTACCCGCAGGGTTTATTTATTTTCAATACTCTTTTCAAATAACTCTTTTAGAATAAACTTTGTCATTTTTTAGATTATTAATATTATCAATTTTACATTTTAAAAATCAACATTAAATACATTATATATAAAGTATTTAGGTTAAATATACAAACCCTCTCTGCAATATTAGCGAGTTTAGGTTTTAGTCTCTGGTAAAAAAAATTTTAAAAATCCCCTTATCTTATTTAGATTCCGTCAATTCTCCTCCCAAATGTCACATGACTTAAAAGATTCACTACAAATACTTGGCAGGATCTAGGTGGTTTTTTTATTTTATGTTATATATTTAATTAGTGACATGACATTTGCTTTAGCTCTAAAATGAATACAAAAAAATAATCTCAAAATTTTAAGTTCCAGTGAGTTTTAAACTCAAAAACAATTGCATTTCCATCATTCATTCATTCACTCGGCCAACTGTTATTAGTTGATAATGTTTGATAATATTTAAGCTATAACACCTGCAAAAAGAAAATGATAATAATATGTTGAACCAATGATTTTTGGTCTTATCAACCATCTGATATACATGTAAATAACTTCAAATTGAAATATTAAAAATATACACTCTTTTGAACTATTTGAGACAAGACATAATTGACTACAGAGCCAATTCACCTGAAATTTCTCTCTTCATTTGCTTCAAGGACATCAACTTCCTCGTTTGATAGAAGATCCACAATTGGTTCATATACGTCCCACTCCTTCTTTTTCCCGATGCATTCAACCAAAGCATATGAAGTTCTCATTTTGAACTTTATAAGTAAAGTTATAAATTTCAGAAAACAAGAGTGCATAAATTGAACAACACTTAATTTAATATGGAATAACTTGACCAAGTCCATTGCTACAGCACCTCCTTTACTGTCAAAAGATTAGAGATGAGACATCGATTAAATAACAGATTATGGATACATATATATACTCTGAATTTATAATAAAAAGCATTGACCAGACTTTGAATTGCAATCTAAATATGAAAATGTGTTAGATGATGGTAAATGAGCCACATATATAAAAAATAACACATGGACATAATAAACTAATTGATCAACAGAATGAATGCCCTCATAAAACTGTTCTCTGATGGCAAAGGCAACAACTGGCTGCAAAACAGAAGTGTTTTGGTGTTTAGTATGTTTCAAATTTCAAGAAGGCTTGAGTGTTTATGCATGTGAGAGGGAGAGAGTTTCATGGATGAAAATTAATTCTAACATCAAAAATAAAAAAGAGTGTATATTTTTAATGTTTCATTTTTTATCGTACTTGATCAAAGTTGGACCGTCACAGCTGGCTTCAGGCTGGATTTGAAGGAGATGGGGGTACCTGCAAGACACTCTGATGGTAAAATGAGAGACGGAATGAGCAAGCAAGTAAGTATATAGGTGTGAATGAATGAATATCTGGCCCTCTCATGAGAGAGGGTATTTATAGCCCCCAGCGCTGGGCCAAGGTCCCCACCATTGGACCATGCAGAGGCCCAATAACGGGAACTACCAGGGTTTACGTGAGTATGGAGTCCAGCAAGTGGGCTCCCCCCTGGTCAACCACTCCGCGAGAATAGGGTTGGATCCGAAATTCCCGGTGGGCAGTTTGATGTGTCTGTTGAGAAGTGGTGGGCCATGTCCCCCAACGGTTAGATGGGGAGGTGCCCCACAATATCTAACTTGGGTCGTTTGGGCCTTCTTTTCGTAGGACAAACGTAGGCCCAGTCCAGATCAAGAGCCCTCAAGTTATTATCCTCGAGTTAGAGGGTGATGACTTGAGTGCAGTTCTTGTTATTGAAGGCTTGGTCGGGATAGAGGGTCGAAGTCCCCGAAGGGAGTGGATCGTTGCCCGCGGGGGGCAAACACAAATATGTCGGGGAATACTCTGGACGGGCGGGGATCAGGATCAGAAGGTTCATCCGCCTACTTGAGAGGGCATATTGGCGGTGAGGAGCCCCTCCATAGTTATTGTGCTCGAGAGGGTTCATCCGCTTCATAGAAACTGTTAGTTTGTCAAGCATTTCCTCGTCTTCGAGATAGTCAAGGAAATTTGCCCCTCTGCGCACTCCAGTGCCTAACACCTCCCCGCGTAAGCATCAACCCCCTACATAATGTCCTCGTAGGAGTCGGGCGCTTGCTCGCCAGTCCAGAGGATTCTGTGTTTGATGGTTGAGCCACGTGGCTAACGTTTTGGGGTGCCACCCCTTTAAGAAAAAAGCAAAAGGGGTCAATGAGATGATGACCTTTCATGTGGGATCCCTTGGGGCGTGGGTCGCCTATAAAAAGGGGGCCCTGGAGATTCATTTGTCATCTTTTCAGCTCCCTTTCAATCCTTCCTCTTCTCGCAGTGTGAAGTGATTCTCTCAAAGCTCTCAGTTTTTCTTCACTTGAGGTGTGAGGCGACCCTCTCAACTTCCCAGTTTTTTCCACAACGCTCTTCATCCGAGTAAGTTATAACCTCTTAATACCACCTTTCTTGGGCTTATCTGGATTAAATGTCAAAAATTTGTCTTGATTGGATGAATATCCATGAGTTTTGTGATGAATGTCCATGAATGTTCATCTGAATTCATGGGTTTTGTATCGGGCACTCATGAAGATGTCGGGCACCTATTAATAAATATTCATGAGCTTCATGACTATTCACGAATATTCATCTGGGTTTATGTATTTAGTGTCAAGCACTCGTGAATGTGTCGGGCACCTATGGGCGTTTGCGTTATGGTGTCGGGGGATCCTTAGGTTAGTGCGTATCCGGGCTCGTGCTCGATGAACTATTCCCCGATGTCGTGTCCTCTGACTGTAATGGCCCACTTTAGTATGTCGAGGGCTTGGGTTAAGTTCGTCGCCCTTTCACTTGATCTGCCATGGGAGCGATATTCAGGCCACCCGTCACGATGATGAACCCCATAATAAAGAGGAGGATCCTTTGGCTTGGGTTGCTCCGGAGCCCCGGGACAAAAGATAGTGCTTCACGCGGGATGCAACAGATGTGTTTAACTGCCTGGAAGAATGCACAGAGGGGGCTTCAGCCAACTGGATGCTTCAAATACCTCACGGGGACCGAAGGATATGCTGGTCGTATCCGGGAAAACGGTTCCCAATGTATGAGTTTGCTTTCAAAGAGGCAGGGATGCGCCTGCCTTTTAATGATTTCCAGGTCGGGGTTTTCCAATGGCTCCAGCTGGCACCTTCTCTACTTCATCCAAACGTGTTGGTGTTCATGCGGGCATTCGAGCTCGTCTTCCAATATTTGGGGATAGGTGCCACGCTTCCCCTCTTCTTCCGCATCTTTCACTTGCAAATACAATCTGTCCACGGGAGACAGGCGTAGGTCTCTTTTAAGCAGTTCGAGAAACTCTTCCGGCCTTACCTGGAGTCCGTGCAGAATTTCAAGGAGAGGTACTTAGTCGTGAAACCCTTGATGTATGCGGCCATAAATTCTCTCTATGCCTGGGTGGAAGAGGTGGAGGACGGGATGCCATTTACCCGACTTATGACCTGTTTCCCGCTTGAATGGTAGTGGAGACATTACGAGCAGAGGTCCAAATACTATGCGGTGAGACCCGAGGATTTGGATGCCCAAGATCAGCTTTCGTACGAGAAGCTATTTGCATATGTTAAAGGGTTCTCCCCCGCGAAATATGTGGACGTGAATGGCGCCCTATTGTTTGACGAGGAAGGGGAGTATCTCTTGGTCAATAGGTTGATCAATATTAAGGCCTTGCTCGAGTGTTCCTCGAATGGGGAAGCCATGAGGCTCTTGGGTAAGGCGTAACTGCTTATTTGCTTCTTTTATAAGCGGGGACGTGTCCGCTTTATTTTGATTTTTCTAACTAAACTTAACGATCCTCTTTGATTTGCAGGTCAAATGGCGTCTCTTTCCGAGCGTTTGCTGAAACTGAGGCCAAAAAATGCATCCACTTCTGGTCCCCGAAGCAGGGTTGCCCGGCTCCAGGAGAAGGCTAAGTCTACCGGTCGAGGTAGTGGTTCCCCCTCCTCCTCTAAAAATCCTGCTTCTATTGATCCGGCCCAGATTCCGGTCAACGAACCCATGGCCAAGAGGAAGCGCCCGGATAGCACTGCGGGTGTACAATTCAAGGGTGATAAAACATCTGCGTGGGTTTTTGTGTTGCCTCTGTGTTATCTAAACAGCGACCTCTTCCGCGACGGGGACTCCCTCGGCCTGCACGAGGAAGAGAGAGGGGCTATTTTGGCTGAAGACAAGGAGCTTCGCCGACAGCGCTTGGCCGAGGACGTGGCCGTTGTGATGAGGGTGCTTGAGATGGCTCTGTCACTTAACGACGAGTCTTCGAGTTCTCAATCTGCTCTCGGTGCGGCCTACGCCAAGATCCATAAGCTGAAGGTCGAGAATGAGAAGCTGAAGGGTGACATCCTCAACCACGAGTTAAAATATGAGGCCCAAGTCCAGCTTCTCAAGGATTTGAACGAGCTGAGGCCTCAGTTGGAGACGACCACGAGGGAGAATAAGCGCTTGGCCGCTTGTAATTTGGAGCTGGAGGGGATGACTGCAAATGTCGAGGACGAGACCGAGACAGAGAAAAATATGGAGACTCAGGCGGATTTGATTGCACGTATCTGCTTGCTCGAGCAGGACGTCATTGAAACTCTTGGATACGGTTTCAACATCACCATTGAGCAGTTGAAAATCTTGAATCCCGGAGTCGACTTAGTGGTTAAGGGGGAGGGGTCGTTCAATCAAGTCGTTGACGGGAAGATCCTCTATCCTCCGGAGGACAGCGACGGTGAAGATGAAGTTTGAATGTTTTTAGTTCAGGGCATGCGTGCCCGTTGTTGTTTTAGGGCTTGCGTGCCCCATATTATTCTTTTGATTTTGAGGTCGTTGTGCCTAAGTTGTAAATTTGGACAACGTCGACCCATG